GATAACCTTATAGTGGTGATCGTATAATAAAAAGATTTTCAAAATGAAAAGACCACCATATGCAGTTTTAGTATGTTTAACCCTAGTAGAATTATGGATAAATATTGAAGGTAAGGATATTATCTGGTAATTTGTTCAAAATAGTACAAAACACAATTTTTAATACTTTTTTTTATAAGCAGGAACTAAATTTTTGAATTTTCAATATAGATTTGTTTACTAAAATAACGTCACAATGGGTTGTATAATGCTTCATTTTGAATAAATAAACCCTCTTCGGGTAGTTGCTTAAAAATACATCAAAGTAAAGCAGTATTCAGACTTTAGGAAATGTTGCATCTCATTAATTAAGATTCTTGTTGTTCGGTTTAATTTTAGGACAAAGTTGTTCATATTTTCAAAAAGTGGAAAAAGACCAGAGATCCTCTGAGGCACCTTTAGCCACCATCTGTCCAGCTTCGGTATTTGATTGTGCCAGGGCGTGCATCACTTCTTATGATACAGGTGTTTGTATCGCCATAAACTTTCACATTGATACATGTTATCTATTTTCTACTCTATCTAATTCATCAGATGTATTGAATGGTTCTACAACATGGATGAAAGACATTTGTTAACTGGTAAACAATTTTTGTACCAGAAAAGTATAATGTCGATGTGTCCTCATACTATGTTAGTCTCACAACTCCACAAACACTTTCAATCAATTAAAAACTAAAATAAATTTATCTGTTTGTTCATTAACTTTTTATACGCCCACATGGAAATATTGTGATGGTTGTTTTCACCTTAGTGAAAATTAATGTTGTTTTCACAAATTATCAACTAATTTTCACCTAATTAAAAACATTTTGATTCAAAATAATAGGTGAAGTATGTCGTATGTGAGCCATCGTAAATTAGATTATGAATAAAATATTCAACATTTTATGAGGGCTTTAAACGCCATTTCCGACCACTTCTGACCTCTTCCGGTATATTTTGATTGCATACATAGTAGAACTAAATGTTCTTACTAACCATAAACTCGACTTATAAAGATAGCTTGCCAGGCAAGGTAACATACGCCCACTACCAGCTGTCAGAAATGATAACTAAGTCTGTAGTGGTTTAATATGTGAAAACAATCATCCTATTTTTACCATTTCAAGCTTTACAGAGATCTCATACCAAGTTTCATCAAGATCGTATATGAATGTAGTCTCTATCAGGCCTACAAGCCAAATTAGAAGCATTGAATTAATTCAAGGGCAATAACTCCAAAACCGTTCACCCGATTGTTACCACTATCAACTTGACTGAGAACTTGTCCATATATACATACATACCAAGTTTCAACGAGATCAGATAAAAACTGCACCGTGTATCATGACTACGAGCCAAATTTGTAGGGTTTTTACAAAATCAAGGACACTAACTCCAAAACCATTCACCTGATTATGACAAACTATAAACTTGACCGATATCTCATCAATATATACATGCAAACTACGCTTCATCAAGATCAAATAAAAATTGCAGCCTTTATCGTGCATACAAGCCAAATTTAACGCGTTTTTAATAAGTCAAGGGCAATAACTCTGAAACCGTTCATCCGATTATTATCAATTTCAATCTTGACCGAGATCTTATCAATGTATACATGCATACTAAGTTTCATCAAGATCAGATAAAAATTGCAACCTCTATCGTGCATACAACAAATGCGACGGCATTATACGTCCACATTTCCATGTGGGCGTATAAAAAATGAGTTTTCCACGTTTTGACACCAGATTTAGAACTACTAACAATTAGCTGACAAGACCTAGTTATTGTTTTAATCGATCAGAAGGTTATGTTCAATGGGTTTTTGTTAAATGTTAAGTTCAATGTTACAGGTATAAAAGCCACAGGACCTGTTAATTAACAGGCAATAGTCAGGAATTTTACTACAATAAATATGTTTCAATACATGTTTACATATTAACACAACATAAAGAAATTATCCATGCACAACAAGTACACTTACTTGTTAGTTATGCATTGATAATTTTACAAAGAGCCGACGATCAAATCTAATGCAAATAAATGCAAAACATAGCTAATTCACACGAAGAAATAACTTTATTTGATAATATTTCATACAATTATGGTAGTAAAAAATCAAACTTGTCGTGGGTGTTTCTTGACCCGTTGTTCGACCAACTTACGGTCGTATCATAACAGGCAGTTCTACAGCGCGTGGCTTTGATAATATGGCCAGTTTCGTTTTGATGGGAAGATATGTGTGCTACAATCTTTGTTACCTTATGTTTAAAGTAATATTGGGATCGATTTTGATTCTATGTGTTTCTTGGCGCTGTTTCTGACGAACTGAGCAATATAATTGATGGTAACTGGCGACATCTGTCATTTTTCAGTAGTCGATGCGCTCAGGTCGACTTAATTTGCAGATCGATCTAATTACTCCAGAAGCCTGGCCCCCGTATTCTCGAAACGTAGCGCTAGGATGTCCTAGAATCAATGTTAGAAGATAAGAACCTAGGACATCCTTGCGCTCAGATCATTTCAAGAATGCCTGGAGTACAATTTATCGTGCACTTCTGCTCTACTGATAGCACAGACTAGTGGCAGATCTTGGTGGTTGGTAGATAACAATTCAACGTCTACATCTAGCTAACTGATACCACAGACTAGTGACAGATCTAGGTAGATGGCAAGGAAACATTCGCTTCTAACTAACTGGTACCACAGACTAGTAACAGATCTAGGTAGTTGGCAGATGGCAAGAAAACATTCGCTTCTAACTAACTAATACCACAGACTAGTGACAGATCTAGGTAGTTGGTAGATTGCAAGGAAACATTCGCTTCTAACTAACTGATACCACAGACTAGTGACAGATCTAGGTAGTTGGTAGATTGCAAGGAAACATTCGCTTCTAACTAACTGATACCACAGACTAGAGACAGATTTAGGTAGTTGGTAGATTGCAAGGAAACATTCGCTTCTAACTAATACCACAGACTAGTGACAGATCTAGGTAGTTGGTAGATTGCAAGGAAACATTCGCTTCTAACTAACTGATACCATAGACTAGTGACAGATCTAGGTAGTTGGTAGATTGCAAGGAAACCTTCGCTTCTAACTGATACAGTAGTAGTAAGGAATTACACTAAAACTATGAAAAGAACTTGAAACTGTTTAATAACATCTGGTTACAATATTTACAATACATCGGCGTTGTCCGTCTGTATAGGTGATCTGGTCAATCCAAGATGCCCATAAACATAACATTCCGTATTTATAATAAAATTGTACAATGACATTAATTTATTAATAATCAGATTAAAATGTAAATTTAGTACAACAATCGACAAATAAAACATAAAAGATTAAAACAGATTAAATGAGAATTATCAACTGTGACACTGTGACTGAGTTCAGAAGGTATAAATGGATTATTGCCATTAATATTGGGACTTCTACGATGGATGCTTTTCCATAATATTCCACTATCATAATACATGTACCACAGACTAGTGTTAGATCTGGGTGGTTGGTAGATAACAATTCAACGTCCATGTCTGGCCAACTGATACAACAAACTAGTGACAGATCTTGGTGTTTGGTAGATGACATTTAACGTGCGCATCTGGCCAACTAATGACACAGACTAGTGACAGATCTTGGTAGGTGGTAGATGACAAGTTAATGCCCGCTTTCTGACTAACTGATACTATAGACAAGTAACAGATCTTGGTAGTTGGTAGATGGCAAGTAAACATTCGCTTCTAACTAACTCATACCACACACTAGCGTTAGATCTTGGTGGTTGGTAGTTGATAATTCAACGTCCACATCTAGCCAACTGATGCCACAAACTAGTGACGGATCTAGGTAGTTGGTAGATGGCAAGGAAACATTCGCTTCTAACTAACTGATACCACAGACTAGTGTCATATATTGATAGTTGATAGATAACAAGGAAACGTCCGCTTTCTGACTAACTGATACTACAGAATAGTGACAGATCTTGGTAGTTGGTAGATGGCAAGGAAACATTCGCTTCTAACTAACTAACTAATACCACAGACTAGTGCTATATCTTGGTGGTTGGTAGATAACAAATCAACGTCCGCATCTGGTCAACTGATAACACAGACTAGTGACAGATCTTGGTGGTTGGTAGATGACAAGTTAACGTCTGCTTCTAGCTATCTTATACCACAGACTAGTGCCATATCTTGGTGGTTGACGTCCGCTTCTGACTAACTTATACCACAGACTATCGAGTTAGATCTTGGTAGTTGGTAAATGGAAAGTAAACACCCGATTCTGGCTAACTGATATACAACATCTTGATGATTCTTTTTGGGTGGTAGTTGGTAGTCCAATGTGTTTTATTATGTTGTTTATTCATAAAATAGAACGTAAGCAGTAATACAAATGGTTTAATATCGGCGATACATTACAGACTCGTAGGCCATTGGCAAGCTTCTAGAACAAGAGTGATCATAATCACGTGTCTCTCGTGATGACGTCATATAGCGGGAAATACAAACTTGTTATCTAACAGTACATAATACAACATCCCCCTTATTTACAGTTATTATGATCAGTCTCTTGTAATACCTTAACTAAACATTAACTGTCTATTTTGACTATAGATTTAATATGAAAGTCTTAACTTTTGGAAAACCTGTTCATAACTCAATAACATTTTATATTTCTGTGATTAATCTTTTAACAGGTTTCCTTTTACGTTTAGACTTTCTTAAAACTTGACTAAACTTATTTTTAACAACGGGACTAGAATTATTCTCAACAAGAGGACTAAATGAATTCACTGGAGGTACATCTGAAAATCGTGTATGCTTTTGCGTACTTTCATTAGTAACTTCTTGTTGCTCAAAATCTTCAATATCATTATAAGTAAGGTCTTGATTACGAGGCGATTCACATGGAACTAAATTTGATCTATTACGTCTTAAACATCCTTTAGGAGTATTAACAATTTAAGATCTAGGTGATCTATGTTTCTTAACTATGGTTCCATGAGATTTACTGTCTCTAATAAAAACATTTTGTTCAGGTTCTAAATCTTTTAAACGATTAACCTTATGACGTTTATCAAAATTACACTTAGTTTTCGCTCTATATATCTCCTCTCTTTCCCTCACTAAACTTAAATGTGACCAATTAGGAATCAATTCTCTAGGAGAAACAGGAACTTGAGTTCTTAATTTTCTGCCGAATAGTAATTCTGCAGGACTAAAACCTGAATGTAATGGAGTTGACCTATAAGCTAATAATGCTTTATAAGGATCATTAGATTTCTTAATAAGATTCTTAACAGTCTTAACGGCTTTCTCAGCAGCTCCATTGCTTTGTGGAT